ACTATTATAAGGAATAGTTGTTGAGTGGGGGTGTTGGAATACATGTTAGAATGTATTTTCTACTGCAACAACTACAGAATTATTCAGCCAGTAGATGGCAGTGTTTAGTTTGCATCTATGGTTATAATCCATGGTTCCTTTTGTTCTGAGGAGAGTTTTTTCTGTGACATTTGAAACCATTAAACAACAAAGGCAGGGGTGAAATCCAGCAGGTTCTGACAGGTTCTGACAGGTTCTGGAGAACTGGTAGCAGAAATTTTGAGTAGTTTGGAGAACCAGTAGCGGAAATTTTGAGTAGTTCAGAGAACCGGGAAATACCACCTCTGGTTGAGTGGGGTGGTATTGCGGATTTTGCAGTATCCTTCCCTTGCCATGCCCACCAAGCCACACCCACAGAACCGGTAGTAAAAGAAAATTGGATTTCACCACTGAACAAAGCCCATGGTGACTGTCCACTGCATACCTTATTTGATCTGTATGGCTATATAATCATCCTCTGCTACCAATCTGTATATGGCTATAGAATAATCCTCTGCTACCATTTTTATAGAATTAAACAGTGTTTCTAAAACCTAGACTCTGTGCAAAGACTTTCCTGGATGTACCAAAAAATTTTGCTGCCCAAAGATTCCTTTCTGCCATGGGAAGGAAGCTGCAAACCATTTGCACACATACAGGCCAGAGTACGTTCACCTGTGCCTGGATTCAGGACAGCATCAATACAGAGGGAATGTGGGCAGCTGGTCTGCCTGGTGTAGAGTGCTGCTGCCCACTTGGACTTCCTGTGATAGGGAGGGAAGCACTCAGTAGCACAAGATCATGTCATTCTCATCTCTGACCAAGCCTGGTTCTGATATGATTTTAGTACAGGTATCACTACAGTATATTAATGTGTACAAGAAAATTCTCATGACAATGAATTTTAAACATTATATTTCAGGTATGAGAATAATGAAAATATTTGCATAGAGTGTAAATGATAGCATGGTCCACCTGGAGGGGTGCCTTTTATTAAATAAATAAACAAACCAAATCTGCCTAATCCACATTTTCCAGCAAATAGACGAGAAACAAGGTAATGAAGCAGGCTGCCTGAATTTATTTAGTGTTTTGCATACAAGGAAATGATTTCCCTCAGCCATCCTAAGTATTGCTTTTATTAAGGTCCTCTTTTAAAGCTTCTTAGTCTCCAAATGATCTAAGAGGATGTAGATGAAGGCAGATGAAGCCAGAATATATGGATTTTACCTTTTAAAAATCCAATTAATCAATATTGTTAAATTCTTTGTTAAAGAAAATGAATGAGAAGGAAATAAAACATTTGCAAACATATAAAATGATGATGTAAACAAGGTCAGCCTGTACAAGTCCATTGTCAGGATTCCAAGGAACACCCCCAACAAAATAAAGCTCTGAGGTCTGAGGTTCCTCAAAGTTCCAATGTCATAGAGATGTCATGTTGGCACATCTGGGAAAACCCGAATCTGAAAGCTTCCAGGTTTCCCCCACCCAGCTAAGAGTTCACAGCCCTGCCTCACACCCACAAGTTCATCATGTTGTCCAATCAACTCTTCACACTCCACCGGATACAATCTTCAGGCAGTCTCCATCAGACGCAGGCAAAAGTCCTTGAATACGGAATGTTGTTATGACTAACTTTCTACCGCTCCAACAACAACCACCTCCCAACTTCCCCAGCTACATTATATAGCAGTTTAGAAGTAAAAAGAAAATTGTCTTCCAAAACTGACATCCATACTTTTTGCATATAAAAATTAGGCCAGTGTGCTATCTGATTGTGTTATCAGAAGAAAGGAATAAGATGATGCCTTCCTGTGTCTTATGTACCAATGTCTGTTGCACTAGTGTTTTAATCTTGCTACTTGATTGCAGGGCTAGCTGTGAGGCTTTCTGCTCCCAGATAGAGCATATTTTCTATTTTCCAAAGCACCAGAAGGCAAGACAAGAAACAATAGATGGAAACTAATCAAGGAGAGACACAATCTAGAATAGTGGTCACCAACTGGTGGTCTATGGACCACTAGTGATCTGCAAGAAAATTTTGGTGATCCGCAGAAAAATATTGCACTGAATCAGGGGTCCTCAAACTATGGCCCCTGGGCTGGATATGTGCAATAAATGTTTGTGTTACTGCAAAGAATCTCCCCTTTTGGGGTCTTTTTGTGTGGGTTGGAGGGGGGCAGAAATTCCGACTCAGAGTCTGCTTCAGCCTCCTGGTGCAGGGCTTTGGCCAAAGGCTGGAGGGAAGTGCTGCTGGTGGCAAAGAGCCAGAGGGCCTTGTTCGAGTGGGGCTGCATCATGTCCTGGAACTGGCTGACCATCTCAGCCCGCTGAGCCTCCAGATGCCAGTACCTGGCCTTGCACTCCCGCAGGTCTTCTCTATGCTCATAGTCCTCAGTGAGGTACTTCTGCTGAGCCTCCTTCTCAGCCAGATCCAATTTGAACTGAGCTGTTTTGCCAATTCTTTCTTGTGGTGGCTGCTTAGCTCCAACAACTGCTTCCTGTTGGGGAGCCTGAGCGGGCAGGCGAGGAGTAGCTGGGAGGGGAGGGGAGGGGCGAGTAGAGGCCAGCGAGATGCCCCTCAATGTGAGTGACATAAAGTTGGCCACACCCACCCAGTCACATGACTAGCTATGCCCATCCAGCTGGTCATTAGGCAGATCATATTAGTGGTCTGCGGGATTTAAAATTATGAAGTTAGTGGTCCCGGAGGTCCAAAAGATTGGTGACCCCTGATCTAGAAATAAGTAATCATTTCCTAAAAGTGAGGATAGTTAACCAATGGAATGGCTTGCCTCCAGAAGTTGTGGCTGTTCCGTCACTGGAGGCTTTTATGAAAAGTCTAGATAGCTATTTGTCTGCAATGGTATAGGATCTCCTGCTTGTGCAGGGGGTTGGAATAGAAGACCTCCAAGTCCCTTCCAACTCTGTTATTCTGTTATTCAGAGGCTCGGATGGAATGGCTTGTGGTCTCCAGCATCTGATGGTTAAGGCAATTACTTCACTCTTCTGTAGAACTGGTCCTGGGCTTGCCTGCAATAGAAAGTAAAGCGGTGTATGCGCCTTCTTCAGTAACATTAATACTAAGTGAACTAATTGCATTTGTTATTTATACTTTCCCCCTTACTCCCCCCCCCACTTTTGCTTCATCTTGGGAGTTTTCTTTGCTACTTTCTTTATTTCTTTCTTTCTGAGATGATTTTCTGTCTTCCTGGAGTTAAATATTTTTATTTCTGATATGAGCTTGGTTTTTCTTTGTCTCCTTCAACCTCATTAGTCTCTCCTCTTATCCTTCACTTCACTTGTATATTTAGCTTATAATGAAAGGAACTTCATAGGTCTTTGGGGAAATAGTGCACATTTGCACTGCATACTAATGATATTAATTTAACTAAAGTTGCCATCATATTACAGACCTACTCCAACTTTCACAATCCACCCAACAGATAATCTAAAGGTTGCTTGGTCTATTTCAATGACTTAAATGCACATTTAAATAGCATAACTTGGAAAAGACAAATAGTTAATATTTATTTTGCAAGCACACACACACACACACACACACACACACATATATATATATGTGTTTTAGAAGAAGTGTTTTAATTAAAACGAACAAAAAACTCTACAGTTTATTGTGGAACAAAATAGAATTCTGATTAAAATCTGCAAAAGTATTACAGACCTTCTTCGAACTTGCTCGCCTCTTAGACTTCTGACTTTCTCTCTTCTTTTCAAAATTTTATCCTGCATGCTATTTCTGCCCTGAGTAGAATGTAGATTTGCTTATATTTCGTTTTAAAACAAGACAAGCAGTGGTCATTATTTTTTACAAATACTTTTATTATATGTCATAAACAAGCATTAAAATACAAACTATCATAGATTGATTAATAAAATAGACACTCTTCAAATTGTTTAGACATAAAAAGCAGATGCTGTCACACCAGACCATTCAAAGCTCTGTTTCATAGGTACTGAGAAATATACATATCTTCTGTGCAAATATTATATTAATTAAGAAAAGAACCATGTGAGAAAAGTTAGAATGTGAAATGTTAAAATAGGGAGATGAGATATCCATGTATGTAAGATGTGTTTATTTTTACTGGATGTTTCTGTGGCTAGTTAGAAATCCCAGGACTTGAAACAGGATTCTGAGATTCCACACAAAATGCAATTTCTTACACACAAACATTTGAAAGCTGGGTTTCATACTGCAGTTTCCAACTCATGTTCCAACTAAAGTAACTGTAGAAATTCACAATGAATTTTGTGACTCAAATTCTGGTGAGCTTGTTGTTATTCAGACAGGATAAAGAATGGTAGCTGTGGTTCATATTACGTGGGTACAATATGTGCTTGAAGGAAATATACATACAAGCCAGACTTCAAGTTGAAAATTTGTGGGTGAAAGACTGTCAATCAAAAATTCACCGTCAAAGGGTCAGTTGTGTTTTGCCACTCAATCTAACCTCCTTCACAGAGTTTTCATATGATGAAGACAACATTAGCCCATTCACAGAATCTTGACCTCTTAGGAGTAGATCTGGATGTCCATGAAATAAATAAAATAGTTTTAAAAAGCACTCAAAACAGCACAGCTGAAGTTAACACGGGTCATCATCAGTGCCTGACTGAACAACTACTTGCAGCCCTTTAAGTTATTTTAAGTTCTGTTTGAAAAAAACTGTAATAAGAGGAAATCATATCAATTTTCCCTCTTGCTGCTCTGTGTGGCTGATTTTGTTTAGTTCTCAGTATAGAGTGCTAAAGGCCATCTTGTTTGACCAAATATCGCATTCATATCTGCTAACCACAAGCTACAACCACAAGTTGAGGGAAGGTCTATGTTTATCTTTCCGACTTGCAAAACATAAGCCTATTTCTAATCTCTCTTTTGAAGAAATGACTTCTGGGTGGAAAAAAAAGAAAGAACTTCTCTAAAAGGTCACGTGTGCTTATCACAGCAGCTAGGACTGTAGTGGGGGAACATCCCACAAACTGAATAGCCCATGCCAAACAATCAAGATTCAAAGTAAGTGCAACATAACAAAAAGCAATCCAGTCCTTGAGGATTTATTAACGTGCAACTGAAAGAAGATCAGAGGGAGATCTAATCTGACGGAGTGCTTACACGCAAAATGGAGAACCCGCTGGTTTTATCCTCTCAGCTCAACTCGGCATCAAGAGTGAAAACTCTCTGTAAAATCATGAAATCCTTGAATAGAGAAGGGGCAAAGCCAGACTCAGGAAACAGGTAAGAGACTGAGGGATTTGGTTTTGAATGTTCATTATTTTTTGACTTTCTTGCTCAATGTGAAAAACAACAAAATACCTGAGTCCAGATTGCATTCCGCTACTCAGAGCAGAAATAGCATGCAGGATAGAGCTTTGAAAAGACGAGAGAAGGCCAGAAGTCTAAGAGGCGAGCATGGACCTACAGTTCAAAGAATGGAGAAGAAATGGTGAGGGAGGGAATGAATTCCATTGAGCCTTTTGCAGCTACAGGGAAGATAAGAGCATGTTCTTGTTTCAATGAAAGCTTTATTCAAACCTTATCCCCTCCCCTCCAAAAATTTTTAAAAAATCAAGATGTAGTGAGGAGTCTGCAGTCATGCAAAAATTACTATTTTTTTTATTTCAGGTAACAAACGTTGACAAATGCAGAAACTGGTTCACATTTGGTCAAATGCATAGCATGTAGTGAAAACCGTTGCAAATATATATGTATTTTAGGAGGGGTTTTTTTTTGGGGGGGGCAGTTTGCCAGTCCACAGAAAAAGCATACTACTGAAAGGGTCTGTTAAAATCCGAATGTTATTTATTTATTTAGAATGTTTGTATAGCCTCCCAACTCCAACAATGTGATTCTGGCAGAGTAGAAAATGTTTAAATAAAAATATGAAGGAAAAAAGAAACATTTTTTTTTCAAGCAAACCCAAGCAACTAACCCAGGTTAGTTGTCTCAGAAGTTGTTCTATAAAGAGGCCAGTATATCTCTCTGACTAAAAGCAAAATAAAACAGTTTTATTTATTTAAATGGTTCCCAATCACCGAGATCTGAATTCAGGATATGGAGATATGTGTTCCTCCTTTTGAAGTAAAAATGAAAGATATTTTGCTAATTCATAATCAGAACTAAAGATCTATCTACAAAGCTATCGTGAGATCTGATATCAGGGCTAATAATGACTAAGTACCCGTGTTTTCCCAAAAATAAGACCCTGTCTTATATTTTTTGAACCCAAAAATAAGTGCTTGGCCTTATTTTCGGAGATGTCTTATTATTTTGGGGCTCATGGAGCAAGATGGGGCTCCTCTTGCCGTCTTACCTGATTTTCAGCTCTGTCTCCCTAACCCTAACCAGAGGAAATGGTGGGGACCGATTGCTCAGGGCTTATTTTCAGGGAGGGCTTATTTTTTGGGGGGGTTATTATCAGAGAATATTATCACATTCTCTGATAATAAGCTTTGATTGGGTTTATTATCAGAGAATGTCTTAATTTAGGGGAAACAGGGTATAGTACCTGCCCACACACCTACAGTCAAAAGAGGGCAGATTTCAAAAGCATCTCCTCTCCCAAAATAAAAATATGATTGTTAACATTGCTAAGAGTCAAAATAAGTGGTTATTAACTCAAATCAATGTGTCCTTTAAGCAGAAAACAACATTCCTTGTCTTGATTAAGTTCAACGTCAGTCATGCGTATTTGCTAAAGAATCCTGTCTCAGAACACTAGTCTCTTTTCTGACTGCCAACAATACTGAGAAAATGTGTAAAGGGGAAAACATATCACTTCTGCCTATTGAAGGGCCAGTTCTTTGAAACACAATTAAGAAATAATTTAATTTAGTTAATTTAATTTAATGATCCTCCAATACTGTTTGATTTTCTTTAAGCGCTGCTCTGAAATCCTGCATAGCAATTGAGCATTAGTTTTTTTTTCCCAAGTACCTAAACCTAATATGTGATTATGTTTCCTTGCATGCCGGTCTATTTTATTATTTATTTATTTATTTATTTATTTATTTATTTATTTATTTATTTATTTATTCAATTTCTGTACCGCCCTTCTCCCGAAGGACTCAGGGCGGTGAACAGTTAAAATAACATACATATAAAATGTGATCGGTTAAGAATTTTCAACATAAAGATTTAGGAAAATTAGAAGAGATTTATGCCAGCCCGGCTTGCTGAAATAGAAAGGTCTTAAGTGCACGACGGAAAGTACGAAGATCTGGGATCATTCGTATCCCTGGGGGTAACCTGTTCCAAAGGGTAGGTGCCCCCACAGAAAAGGCTCTTTCCCTGGGAAGAGAATTATATATATATCCTTTTAGGGATATATCCACAATTACACGGGAAGAAACCCGAAATATTAACTATACACACATACATACCCGTGAAAACTTACATAAACATATATATATATATATATATATATATATATATATATATATATACACACACACACACACACACACACACACACACACACACACATATACATACACCATTATATGGTGATGCCCTGTACCCAGTGGTGAAATCCAATTTTTTTTTACTACCAATTCTGTGGGCATGGCTTGGTGGGTGTGGCAGAGGAAGGATACTGCAAAATCTCCATTCCCATCCCACTCTGAGGCCAGCCTGAGGTGGTATTTGCCAGTTCTCCAAACTACTCAAAATTTCCGTTACCAGTTCTCCAGAACCTGTCTGAACCTTCTGGATTTCACCGCTGCCTGTACATCTATTGCAAACTGGATGGGATCCAGTGGTTCCAACACTTTGCTCCCTTTCTCATGCTATGAGAACTGGTAGCACACCATTTCTAAAATTTGCAACCAAGAACTACACCTCTGGGATGGATTTTATGATCACAGATCCAGTCAAAGAGAAAAAAAAATGGTCATTTACAGCAGTGCCTTGGAGTTTTACCAAGGTTTGCTTGTGTGTTGCTACTCACATTAAAAGGGTATGCCAACATGGGATCATCCTGGTTAAGAATGTCAGCATAGAGTGGCAAATGAAACCTGCAACATAATTGCAATGCAAATATTCTGTGTTCAAGATTCCAGTAATTTTCATTATTCCATGCCTGGGGCACATATTCAGGCCTCATGATATCGTCATACCGATTCTCTTTTAGTCATCTTTTTCCTCTAAGTATTTGCACTCTTGCAAATTTTGGATTTCCTGCAAGCCTGCTAACACTTCCGTACTGGGCACAACTGATAGCTGGTGCATTTTGGTTATGTAAACAGCAACACTCATATCTTTAATACTGGAAAGTGAGGAAGTGGTTTCTTGTTTATATGTATGATGATTTGAATAAATACAAAGAACCCATACATGCAAAGTAGTAGCAAACGTCAGCCTTGTGATGTTTAGCAATAATACTTGAAAACACACACAAAAAAACCTTAGTTACATTGCTATGCTAGACTGTGGTGTAATGTGTAAATAATGATTATTGATTGGATACTTAAATTTCCAAGTTCTTGGATTATTTTTAAAAAATTAGTTTGTAAAGTGTCATGTTGGGTATTATTTACATAAAGCTAATTGTTTTCCTAAACACTTACAAGTTTGCCTATCTTTGGTGGTCTATCCAGATTGTCAGGTTGGCATGTTCTGGGTCTCCTGGGTGACCAAAGACACTGGTGGAACCTACAAAGAGTGCCTTCTCTGCCATGGTGCCTGCCTTATTTTCATCCCTTTGAGGTTGTCCACATCAGGAAACAAACTCCACAAAATAGCAATAGCACTAGACTTATATACCATTCCATAGTGCTTTATAGCACTCTCTGACTGTTTTACAGTGTTAGCATATTGCCCCCAACAATCTGGATCCTCATTTTACCGACCTTGGAAGAATGGAAGGCTGAGTCAACCTTGAGCTGGTCACAATCGAACTTTAAGCTGTGGGCAGAGGGGGCCTGCTATACTGTATTCTAACCACTGTGCCACCACAGATCCTAGACTAGAACTAAGCTTCATTGATATATACTCTGTGGTAATAGTGAGATTCAAATCCCGTTGCTACCGGTTTGCTCGTGGGCATGGGCATGCTTGTGTACGCACGTGCCACTTCTGTGCATGTGCATAAGCTTCTGCGCATGCACAGAGACGTCTGGGTGGGTGGGTGGAGCGTCCCGCTGCCACCACTACTGGTTCACCTGATCCAGGGAGAACAAGTAGCAACCCATCACTGCTCTATGGACAGTTTGTGATTTTCCTCTCTCTTATACCTTACTGATTCAGGGAAGAGCCAGCTTGATTCTCTTCTTAAAACTTAATGAATACCTCTGCCTTTTTTTCTTTTTGTAACAGCTTCTGAATATATCCATCAAGGCCATCTCTATGTTCCATGTTATAGAACAGTTTCCCCCCTCCCCCAGAGATAGTCTTGACCTGCCAGCCTTCAAGGAAGCCATGAAAACTTGATCCCCCCCCCCAAGGTATTGGGGCTAGATTATTAGTGGGACCCAGCATTGTGCTTTGTGAACAAGAATTTTTTTACAAAGACCTTGATAAATTGGATTTGAATATACATTGTATTTTTATCCACTGTTCATTGTTCCATTGCTTAGATAGACGGCCATATAAACTTGTTAAATAAATAAGCAAGATTTGATGCCATCTAGAAGCTTTGGATACAATGCCTTGAATTCTCAAGCTGCATGGTTATATTTGCAGAGAACCAGGTTGTACCAGTTAAATACACAACCTGTATTCAACTCTCAAAGCTTTGGTTATGGTCTCTAGAAAATGTTGCTATTTATAATGAAAAAGAAGGATGAAATTCTGAAATGCTTGAAAATTAAATTAAATGTCATCAGATTAAATGTAACTGAGGTTTAGCTTTTTGTACTTTCCTTTTTGTAGGTCAAGGATGCCACTCAGATGCCAAATGTTGAATCCATAAAAAGAGATTTATACACCTATGCATACATCAATCCTCTTTTTCTATATTCATTATAGTAATTAAAATACAATACAAGTAATATGGTACAAGAGAGCTAAGGTTAAACATCAGGATAAAAACTGGGAGACTATGAGTTCTAGTCCAGGGGTGGGTTCTATTTACCTTTACTACTGGTTCACAACAGGAGCGTGTACAAAGAAGCTTCTACGCATGCGCAGATCATCCATGATGACATCATGGCGGGTGGGTGGAGGCTCCCACTGGTTTTACTATTAGTTCTATAGAACCGGACCGAACTGGAAGCAACCCATCACTGTTCTAGTCCCTCCTTAAGTATGAAGCCAGCTGGATGACTGTGGGCCAATCACCTTCTCTACAAAGCAGGCAATCACAAACCACTTTTGAAAAACCTTGTCAAGAAAACTTCAGACAGTCAACAGGAGTTAATGCTGACAAGAAAGCATTAAAAAAAATAGTGGTGCAAGAAAAAATAATGTCCTAATGCTAGTTTTAATGGCTGGGTAGTTTGGGCTGAAAGCTCCACCTCCATTTTGTTCTTGTCTCTTGAGGTGATAGCATCTACTTGTACAAATCCTATGATATGGCAACCAAGGAATCAGAACAGAGGAAAAGAAAGCCATTATTATACCACATCATCACCCCCTTTGCATCATTCGATATTATCAAAGAAAGCAGCACTTTCTGGGGCAGCGATATACTAGCTAATGCATTCAAATTTTGCTGAATGCATCATGAAATGTGTTTCATTTTAATCATTTCAGCGACTGTATTTCCTCTTTTGTTATCTGATTTTAAACAGCACAGTATCAGAAGCTCATGATCTCAGCCTGGCTTCATGAAGATTAAGCCTATTCCTTTCCCCCCTCTCAAGTCCCTACTGATCTTGTCACCAAAGTAAATGTGAAAGACTATCAACATGAAAAGATGTTCATTTACCCTTTGCAGATGATTCTGTATGTAAAAATATTCAGAGGTGTAAGTGAGAAATCTATTATTCTCTCCTGCAAAAGGGGAAAATAACATCAACATTTATGGAATCATATGTGAAAGGGAAGCAATGAGCTTTACAGAGCACTCTGAGCTGGCAAAAGAGAAATGTTTGAAAAATCTTACCAGAGTAACTTTCATTTTCTTGTAGATCTCTTGAAAAAAGGAACCGGCTAAGTCTCTTGCATAAGTCTGAATTGCACCCAAATATGAATTTTGACAAATTTGAACAACTAGCAAAAGCATCAAGGTGAGACTTCTTTTGGAAATAAATAAATATATAATTAAAAAGGCTGCCATAAGGAAGGAGCCATATTTAATTCAGGACATCTATTGCATGCCTATTTTACAGGTTGTTTTCATTTTGCCATCATTGTCAATCAGTGTTTTCTCAATCTTAGTAATTTTAAGATGTGTGGCCTTCAACTCCCAGAATTTGAAAGCCATCATGCTATCCTAAATCATAGGAAGTTGTGTTCTGCCTCTCTCCTTCAGTTTAACAGGAAATAGTGTTTTGTTTTGTTTTGTTATTCTATGGAGAAAGTTTCATTAAAAGGTTTCCTGAGTAAGATGTAGAACGTTTCATTAAAAGGTTTCATGAGTAAGATATAGATTTTGCTTCTGCTTAATTTAATAAGATGATCATCAAGAGAGGGTTTTTTTTTAAGCTAAATCTCCAAGTTTAAATCACAAGGGACCTCCTGACATAAAGATGGCATAGCTCCACCAGAACAGGTTGGCATAGGTGGAGTATGTTCAACAACTTTTAGTATCTCTTTACTACAATGAAAGATGCTCAAAAACTCCACACCCAAATGCTAAAGGAACTTACAAGCAAAAAAGGCCAAAAAAACCCACACCCCACTCTAAAGAACTGAAACGTTTGAAGGGCAGTGGAGGAGAGATGTCAGCATAGTACTAATATGATGCTTCATCACCATGTTTTGATAGCAATTAGGAACATCTTTCAGTTCCTTTCCACCATTGTACAGCTTAGTGATTGCCCTTCAAACACGGATGCATGCATGTATGATGTTTATGAGATCTCACAGAATTCTTAATAGACTTCTTACAAGGTTTTATTTTAAAAAGACTATTTTTTGCAGGAACTACATGTGTCCTATTTCTTTCTTTTTTATGTGTACTTTATAAAAATGGTAAATGTTAGATATCAATTTCAATATCAATTTCAATATCAATTTCCTTAATACTTCAACTCATAGCATTTTCCACCCAGTATACTGGGAACTACTTGGGAGTTCTGGTAGTTGAAAGAAAAATTGCCTTAATATATGAATGTTTTTCAATTGTCACATATTCTTTTTCTCAATGTATATATCATTACGAAATCTGCTTTTTGAATGTGTGTGTTTTCAGCTATAGGTTCAGTGACATTCTGGTGTCCACCTAAGTGTCCCCATCTATAAAATGGATAAATATTTGTGAAGTGACTTCTGATTTCTGTTTAAAAAGACATACTCCTCCACTTACAACTGCAATTGGGGTCAGAATTTTCATTGCTAAAGTAAAGCAGTTGTTAAGGGAGTCTTACCTGATTTTATGAGTTTTTTTGCTATGGTTGTTAAGTGAATCACTGCAATTGTTAAACAAGTCATGGAGTAGTGAAGTGAATCCAGCTCCCCAATGACTTTGCTTGTCAGAAATCAGCTGAGAAGGTTGCAAATGGTAATCTGCTCCGTCTCAGCTAGGTTATCAGCCTTGCCTGCTATTGTCTTTATCTCCTCATTATTTGTTTCCCTCTGCAAATTAATTTCCCTCTAAATTAATTTATTTTGCACACTTCTCCAGGGCTGCGCCACATATTATGATCTATCTGAAATCCAATTTTCTCAACTGCTTGTGAAAGTAGCCCAGCACGTACTTGAAAAGGTCACTTCCCAAACTTTTTAGCAGAAGAATGGTTGAGACTTTTGAGTGTACCTTTCGGTGAGCTACAATGTCAAAGACCAGTGACCACTATGGACAATTTGACATAGTTGGCTTTTTAAAAAAATACGAAGAAGAAGAAAAGAAAAGCAACTCTCATCTCCTAAATTAAATATAAATCCTTCCAAAATAGCATGGCATTTGGTGAAAAAGTCATTATATTGCTGTAAACAAATGGTGTGTTTATGTCCCAGCACCACTGCTTATTGCAACCTTCTTTCTGAATATCATAAAGCTTCCTGTGTAATGTTAAAAATAGTCTGTGGTCATAGTGTCTTCGGCAGTGTTCGAAACCACATTTCAGTGTGAACAATTCTCTTTCCTTCCCAAGCTTTTTTGTATAAAGCTGTTTCATAGATCATCGACCCACCACAAACAAAATGGTCTCTTTTGGTTATTTATTTATTTTAAAAGAATAAAGGTGTCAAACATGCATTTACTTAGATTAAGGGTGTATAATAAGTGACTCAGAAGACAGTACTTCCTTTCCATACATTGATTCTTTTCATAAGTTAATAGGAAAGACATAAGTGAAATCAGATCAGAAGCTTTTTGAAGCTTGTTTTTCTCTCTAAGAAATCCTTATTCGATACCATGAGAAATATGACAGACGGAAATCAACCGGAGATAAAATATGTTAGGAAAATCTGCAAATATGCACACAGTAGGTGACACCTCTTTTTTTTGTCTTGTGCAGTGAGTCCCCTGAAACTGTAAAAAAATGGGCTGAATCTTTTGACCAGCTGATTTCTCACAAAGGTTGGTATTGATGTTTTCAACTAGCATTATGCTTCATTACAGTTCAACATCTTATAGCAAGGCTCAATTGTTTCATGCAAAATATCTTTTCATTATTATTTTTCTGCGATGAAGGATTAACCGTGTGTAAAGTGAAGAAGTCTATTAAGTTTGACTGCCAGATTGCTGTGAAAAATGGCCCTGAATTTTGATCACTACCATAAAAGCTTAGAAGTATTGAAGCTTCAGTAGTAGAGAAAATTATTCAAGGAAGAAGTGGATATTTTATTAATCCTTAAGGACTAATATTAAATTTATGTTATGTAATGCACAATGAACAATTGTGTATTGGAACTTGTGACTATTAACTTGGATATGAACTTCTAGGTATTCCATCAGTATCAATTATGATTTAGGATGTCAATATTACAAACAAAATTATTTTATTTTTTAAATCCAAAATTCAGTATACCATTGAAAAGGAAACAAAAAGTCATACAATTTTGAAGTTCAATAAAGGAAAAAATTTACTCAATGAAAATGGCTGTTGATTGTGACATCATTAGTCAATAGACAAATCATCTTCCTTTCCCGTTTCCACTTGAAAATTCCAAGTCTTCCAAGCAAAGACATGCTGCAGCTTTCAATTATTCTCAGTAATTGTACATTAAACTATAGTTTCTAAATATACCTGTAGTGCTTATTTCATCAGCAGTGAAATCCACTTACTTTTGCTAGTGGTTTGGGAACAGGAGTATGCGAGAGCACGTGCAGGAGCATGCATGTGCATGTGCGCCTCTTCTGCACATGCACAAAGCCTTCTGTGCATGTGCAGAAGGTCAAAAATGGAATGGAATGATGTCCTACCAGTTTACGAGAGTCGGGTAGATCCAGCAGGATTTTACTGCTGATTACCATGTCTACTCAACTTTTGCTGGCCCATAGTTCAATATGCATTACCTAAAGGCTGCCTTGCTGGACCTCATAAAAATAATTTTTAAAATTATTTTTATTTTATTATTATTATTATTATTATTATTATTATTATTATTATTTACACAAACAGACAAACAAACATACAATGCATTTTTTCCGAACAGAGTATTGGCCAAGTCACATATTTATACAATTTTTAGTCATCTTCAACACAATTTATGTATTTCACTTTTTGCCATAACAATCTTTCTCTCTAATTTTTATTAACTAATGTTACCCTTCGCCCTAATCTCTAATCTTAATCAAATTCAATTTTTCCCTTTTCTTTTTCCAAGTTAAAACCCTTACTAGATTCCCTTATTCTAATCACAAATATTTTTGTTTGTCAACTTTTCCAAATATTACAATCCAATCTCTTACTAAAAAAGTCACTTAAATATATAACGTTACAGTCATTCATTTCTTTTCCATTGCTTTTTCAAATATATATGTGATCTCTTCTTATTAAACAATAAACCAAATTATTTCACACAGTACATCTTAAACCTTAAATCCAATTTTCAATTACTTTTTCAAATATATATATTTTTACCACTTCAAAAATATCTTAATCACTTCTAATTGAACAATAAATCTAATTAATTCATAATACAATATAATTTCCAATTTTTTAGTTAAATTCCAAAATTACAATTAAAAATGTTCAATTATTAGTTTCCATAGTTACAGTTAAAGATCATCCAAATATTACAATCTCATATATTAAACTCATTTGTGTTTCTAAATCTTATTTCAATTCATTTATAAATCAAGATAATTATCCATTGCTTTATACTTAATTTAAACACTTAATTTAAACAAGATTAATTTTCAGCTTAATTTCCAATATTTTAATTAATTTAATTATTACAGTTAAAAACATTCCAAGCATTACCAATCTCAGCTGTTGCATTTTCTAAAATTCATTATATCTATGAATCTTACTTCAATTCATTTTTAATTCTAAATGTATTTCTTTCTCCCATTTTCTTCTTCTTCCTCTTCCTCTTCCTCTTCCTCTTCCTCTTCCTCTTCCTCTTCCTCTTCCCTCTTCTTCTCTTCTTCTTCTTCTTCTTCTTCTTCTTCTTCTTCTTCTTCTTCTTCTTCTTCTTTTTCCCCCATCTTTTTTTCTCCATTTTAAAATCCTGAACTCTTCTATTTTGCCTCAGACAGAGTTTTGAGCACCCTGGTGAGACCTGTCTTTAAAAAGTAGCACTGCAAATGAAGTAATCAGCGTACAAGCAACTTTTGAGTTAACACTCGACTCATGCCCATTGTAATGTGCATATGTTTGGATTGGTAGGATTTATACATAATCCACACACTGGATTAGAGGAGAAGAAAACACTATTATTATTTTTTTTACTGAAGAAGCCAATAGAAGCCTCCAGAAAGGTGGCCAAGTTTTGTGTTATTGCTATCTTCGAACAAAGACTAATTGTTTAGGTTCCCATAAGTTTTCTTTCCATGGCACTGAAAATGTGAGTCCTTAACATGTGTTTGTGCACTTTTTATACAGGTTTTGTAGGCACAATATTCTGTATTCTAAACAATTTATTGATTCTAAGATATTGCTCCATGTCTGTAATTTATATTAATATTTTCTATAAAATATAGGGTAGCATTACTGTAGATATATAAAAATAGCTGTGTATTGGATTAAGAGTGATAAAACATACTTAAGCATACTGTGCTATACTAAAGTAAATTTTATGATAAAAATTGTAATAAAAATGAAAGTGCTTGATAACTGGTGATAAGAAGCAATAAAATAAATGTAAGGATAAGACTTGACTGAAATCAGAACATATTTTATTTATGGTTTCAGACTTTAGACTGATCCAACATAGCAGCTCTTTGCATTTTACAGTTCTTTTATTTTATTGCCAATATCTATTTATTTTTCAGATTTACTAAGAATCTTCTGGAGATAGATCAGCTAGGGGTCTATGAAGTATTGCAAATAGTATTTCTATTTTTTTTTCTTCCATTCAATTGTGTCTGCTTCTCAGAGACTGCCTGGACAAGTCCCTGCAGTTATCTTGGCAAGGTTACTCAGAAGTGGCTTTCCATTGCTTCCTTCCTAGGGCTGAGAGAGAATGACTGGCCCAAGGTCATCCAGCTGGCTTCTTGCCTAAGGTGGGACTAGAACTCATAGTCTCCCAGTTTCTAGCCTGACGCCTTAATCACTGCATCAAAATGGTTCTCATCCACTAATATAAGTGGAACCAAATCCTGTAGTCAAAATATTATCTAGAGCCAGTATGTAAAGATACAATCAAATCTATAGTCAATGTGAAGATTGAAATACATTTGTGGATTGTGGTGCAATTCTAAACTCAATAACATTAATGGTGCATATCAAATACCTGTGTTGCAATAAACTACACACACGTACACACACACACACACACACACACACACACACACACACACATTTGAGAGCTGGTTGTTTTTGAAATAAATATGAGCTGGGTGTCAAGTTGATGTTTTCAAAATTACAAATGAATATGCATACATACTAATTAATATATAAATGAATCCAGTTGAATTTGACATTGATCTAAACAGTCTAATCTGCCCATTATTAGATCAAATAAGAGGTACATTGGAAATAATATGTCATACCTATTACAGGGAATCCTCAAGTTAAGAAGAAGTTATCTTCCCTACCTCTGTCTTTAACCTGAACTTATATTTAAATGGGAATTCATACTTACAAACGGACTACCTATTACTAAAACTGGTGCACAGTGTTGTCCTTCCTCAAGCTGATAAAGTGCTGAAACTGCACAATGCTGTCAGAAACCCCTGAAAATTACTGAAAACAGGCTACATATATGAAAAATTAACAGCTTCAGCAATTTGTCAGCCTGAACAAGGAGAATGCCATCTGCCATATTTATTAACAGGCAGTCCATTCACATCTAGGGTTTGTCCTTAAATTAGATGTTTTTAATCTGGATACTGTTCTGACCTAGGATTCCTGATATAGTAAAAAGCACACAATTAGTCCCAAAAAACCCTTTTTTTATATTTTAACGGCTGTGAATTCCTTTCATTCTACAGCATGTGCTGAATCACCAAGAGTTTATAAATAGTCCAACAGAAGTCTGCCACAGTCCTTCAGATAAGGCTGGTAAAAACCCACCTTTATCTTCTTTGACACGCCGCCAAAGACCTAATTGGCAATTATCTTGGCAAGGCCACATGGGAACACAGAGTCAAAAACGGAGCTTCAAAGTACAAACTGACACCATCCACAACATTGCTTCCTGCAAAGGCCACGTGTCTTTGCTCTTCCTTTATGTCTTTTGGGAGGGGCCAATCACCTCCAAGCCTTACTCCCACCAAGTCGTCCCTTTTGTTTTAAGTGTTCTTGCCTTCTGGCAGCTCTGCACATGCACACACTAGGAACAGGCTCCCCTTGTTCCTCTGCCTCTCTGATGTTCGACTCTGGAGACTCCCAGATGGCCCTGCCCCCTCTCTGCCTCAGATGCAGAGTCCTCATCTGAGCCTTCCCCAGACTTCAAGACTGGCGCATGTTCCTCCCCAGCCTCCTCACTGTATGACTCTGCTGCCAGCTCTGCAGGCTGCTGGCGGACCACAAAAGATACTGCCTGTACATTTCTCAAATTAAGCTCTGATTCTTCCAAAAGCTTTTCTTATTTACTGTATTCAAAATGAACCTCCACACAGTGAAAGTCTGGGACATTATTTTTGCTTATTCTTTACCATACAAATCAGAGTTATTGTTCCAGGACTGACTTTAAAAAAACAAAAACAAAAATGTGTAATTTAGGGAGAGAGTTAACTAAAAAACATCTGAAAATGGTAGTGAGAAAATGTCATCCTGTTTTATTTGCTGTTTCTTTGATTACATATTGTTTATTTTGTAGCTGGCTTAGATGCATTCATCAGGTTTTTGCGAAGTGAGTTTAGTGAAGAGAACATTGAGTTCTGGATGGCATGTGAAGAGTATAAGAAAAGCAAAGATGCCTCCCAACTTCCACTCAAAGCAAAGATAATTTATGAGACATTCATTGAAAGAGAATCACCAAAAGAGGTACAGTGAAAATAGTTCTCTTAACACAATTGGTCTTTTAAATCCTTAAAGATTCTGTCTGCAGGGAGAGGATGTCAAGGTAATGTCCATGACATGTCCTCTTGACTTTTCTGCACTCTACCCTATCTGAAATCTCAACCCTTGCTCCTAACAAAAATTACTGCACACAGTGAAACTTACTTCCGAGAAAATTTGCAATAACATTGTGTTTTATACTGTTTAATGTCATTTGGAATGAATCCATCTTTGAAAAAGGTTATGATTATTTAGCACATCCTACCACAAGGGGATGCGGTGATGCAGTGGCTAAGACGCTGAGTTTGTCAATCGAAAGTTTGGCAGTTCAGTGGTTTAAATCCCTAGTGCAACGTAACGGGATGAGCTCCCGTTATTTGTCCCAGCTTCTGCCAACCTAACAGTTCGAAAGCACGTAAAAAAATGCAAGTAGAAAAATAGGGACCACCTTTCATGGGAAGGTAACAGCGTTCTGTGCGCCTTTGGCATTTAGTCATGCCAGCCACATGATCATGGAGACATCTTCAGACAGCGTTGGCTCTTCGGCTTTGAAATGGAGATGAGCACCGCCCCCTAGACTAGCACATATGTGCGAGGGAAACTTTTACCTTTAGCTTTTACTACAAGAGTATCCCAGAAGTGAAACAGGAATAAAAAATGAAAATATTCACTTGCTGAGAACTTTATCTGCCTATTTTTATTGCTACTTGTATTGTATAAGAATTATTCTTCCTCAGTCTTCTGAAGCAATAATTACTGGTGCAATTATTAGTACATACAAGTTATTGCTAACACATTGGCAAGATTTCAGATAAGACAAATGGATAAAATAAATCACCAATTTAAGGCCGGCGTTCAGAATAATAACTGTAGTGCTTTAAGCAGATTTTAAAAATTGATTACAGATTTGTTCAAAAAGCAAGAGTTAAGGATTGCATATTAATTATATATAATGGTAAATAAATATGCAGATATACTTCATGTCAGTGGTGAAATGTAAAATCTGTTACTACCAGTTCTGTGGGCATGGCTTGGTGTGTGTGTGTGTGTGGGGGGGGGTAATGTGACTGGTGAGCGTGGCCAACTTTTTTTTATTTTTTTATTTTTAAAACCATTTTTTCTACAACCTCTTTGGCTGAAGAGGTTGTAAAAAATGCTTTTAAAAGCCTCTGACGATCCCAGTTGAGTTACCTGATTGTCAAAAGCTTCTTTTTTCTTTTAAAAACATTTTTTCTACAACCTCTTCGGCCGAAGAGGTTGTAAAAAAAATGCTTTTAAAAACCTCTGACAATCCCAGCTGAGCCGCAGGATCATCAAAGGCTTTTTTTTTTTTTTTTACTTTTAAAAGCATTTTTTCGGCCGAAGAGTTTGTAGAAAAAATGCTTTTAAGTTTTTTTTTAAAAAAAAGCCTCTGATGATTGTGTGGCTCAGCTGGGCATGGGGAGGGGCAGGGATTTTTGCTACTGGTTCTCGGAACCACCCGCCGCCATTGTTACTGGATCAGGCGATCTGCTCCGAACCGGGAGTATTTCACCCCTGCTTCATGTATTGGCTTAGATGTTATTTATACTTAACTATCAAATGTCTATTGTGTGTCATGTATTCAAGAAAGGAATGTCGAAATATGTCTAGGAGACGATTATGATTTGTGCTATTGATTAGAACATTCCAGTCAAGTGGTGGTCATATAAATTGAACAAGCTAAATTATGGAAAGAAACTTTTTTTTCTCGCTCCCTGTGAAGATTGACAAACATTAAAACTAACCCTATCCTTCTTTTGAAATAATATAACATTAGTACAACTGGGGAGGTATCCATTCTAAATCCTACTAAATAAATGATGAACATTGTTAATGCTTTATTGTGCTCTGTTCCATTTTTAGGGGAAAAAAATAAAGAAATTGGAGCACACACACTTCTTGTCACTGAAAATCTACTGTGCCCCACTTAATTTTGTTGAACAAGCTTCTCATATGGATGTTCAGCACATATAGAATGCAGATGTTGCACTTGTCTATAGTGTGTTAGAGCTGCCATGTGATCCCAGGCAAAGACCCAGCTTGTCAAGGTGTTGCAAGCAGGTGTTTACAGTTTCTCAAATAGATAGCCAATTGACATAAGCCTATGAGATATATAACTCCCTGAGGACTCATTACTGAAACTTCAGCGCGGATGAGACTAAAAATATCCCCATCACATTTCTTGACCGTGCATCTCATAAAATTTGAATGTAGCAGATTTCTTTACAATACTTGGGCAGAATGTGTAGGATAGGAAGTCAATACCTTATATGGAAAAATTGGGAATAACCAACAACCATCCATTTTATCAAATGTTTTCTTCTTTTTCTCTAGGTCAACCTTGATTTTAATACCAAAGTCTCTGTAAATCAGAATATGGCTCATCCAACGCGCAACACATTTGATGCTGCACAGAACAAAATTTATGCCCTGATGGAACAAGACAGTTATCCGCGCTTCTTAAAGTCTAACCTTTACTTAGATTTACTCCATGGCAGACCTTTAGGCTGTTCAGCTCTTCGACGGAGATCACGTTCTTTTACCTTCAATGACTTCAAAGATGCCCAGCCAGATTTTGCTGTCTGGCTGTAAAAGTTAATTTCTCTTTGACCCCATCTTCATGCCAATGAAGGGGCATCATTATTGCCTCAAATAGTTTAGATGAGGGAAGTTATCATAGAACTCACAGAATTGTTTCCATTTTATTTTTATATTGTTTACTTGATGATCAAATCCAAAGGTTTCAGTTTCATTTATTGCATGGATAGCCAATATGTTTATTATTCTCAGATTCTCTCTATAAAATTAGGCCTTTCTGAACTGCAAAAATTTGGATGACTATTAAACAGAACAAAGTTAGTTTTATATCTCTTCACTGCCATCTAGTGATCATCTTTATTTCTGCAATTCATGTAGAGTAGACCTAATATTGTGAAGGTCAAGTCCCTAATAAACAGTACCCACATTTAACAATAATGGCTATGGACACGCATAGTCATAAATAGAAATATGTTTATTGAGTACAAAACCCAAATACAATATGTGACATTAAAGCAGGGAAATCCTGCCTCTTACCGTGTGGGAATGATTTTTGTAAGAACATCAGATAGCATTATTCATCAAGCATTAGAGCTATTCGTTTGCTTTCTTTATATTCTATGAAGCCATATATCACATTCTGAGACATGGTAAAGTGTGAAAATATTCATGTTCAACATTATGTTTCCTAATGTGAAAGTGTGAACAGATACATTCAACAATTTAGAAAGAATAAACACATCGTCAGAAGTTTGGTTTTAAATGTGACCTAGAAAAACGTTGAATAAATTGAGGAACAAGAAGTAGATATGCCTAGGATAAACTCTTTAGAAATTCAGTTCGGTGTAATCAGGCCAGAACCTGAAAGACCACAAGTTCTAATCGTGCTGAAGCATGAAACCTGTTGGGTAACCTGGGACCAGTCACTGCCTCTCAGCTCTAGGAAGCAGGCAACAGTAAACCGTGTCTGAAAACCTTCCCAAGAAACCTGGAGGGACCTATCCAGGCAGTTGTCAGGAGTCAATACTGACTTGAAGGTATGCACACAACCAAAAACAATAAATCTTATAAAATGTAGGGGAATTGGTGCCTGATTAAATCTTCTTAGGATAGTGTAATTAAAAAACAAAGAGGACACAAAATTGTGATATTTTCCTTTTCCTGTGAAACCACAATCAGAAATCTTTTTTGACATAGGTAAAAAATTGTAAGAGAGGATCGATAATTCAGAAAAAAAAAAGAATACTTAAAAGCTGTTCAAACCTGCTGTCAAGGTCTAACTGGTTACAACCTAGTATTTCATAAAGTACAAGTGATTGGTGGCCATGGGAACTGGGTACTTAAGACAACTCTTTGTTATAATTAGGCCATTTTGAGAAACCTCTGATGAGGAGTAACAGAATAAACTAACCTAGGATATGCAATGTTCCTCTCCCAAGGATATCCCTAAAGATAATCCATATAACTGTATGTGTGATGAAAGAATGTATACAAAGGCAGAGAAAGTGATGTGGAATGTCGAGTTTGGGAATTCTGTAAGAATCTTCCTTAAAATCTTATGCAGGGTACTGTACTTTAGTTTTCTGTTAAAAACTGTACCATTTGTATGTTCAGTCTGTAAATTTGTACCATTTGTAAATAAAGCACAGTGTAACAATATGAGAAGACTTTTGTTATCTCTTTCCAAACAAGAGAGAAACATGGATACCTGTATATGGCTATATCAGGGCTCAAACCAGTAGGAAAAGTGTATCAGTACAGTGCAGGCCCAGTTTTAAAATATTCCTCTTGTTTAACCACATAGCTTAAAGCTTCCACAAATCTATGCTTTTCCTCCCAGAAAAGTAAATGTGGACCATTTGCTTGCACCATCAAAAGAAAATTAGTAAGTTTATTTTGTTGCTGAGGTTAAAATGACCTAAAGTTTATTTCTTTTCCTTGTGCTACAGTTTTAAAGATCTGGTTCAGGGAACTTTAACTTCTTTGATTTATATTACGGTATTGCAGTGATTGATTTTCTATTCATTCCATGTAAATGAATGAACAGAGGGTGGTTCTCTTTTTGATCCTAAATTTGTGGATGTAATTATGTAAATACACTTGAAAATAAAATGAAAATTCAAAGACTGGGGAGGAAAAGGGGGGATTGATTTAGGCATGGAGAGTAAAGGAAAGCTGCTATTCTAATTTTCAGATTAAGCTGTTTGTTGAAAATGCTGTCTAGAGATATTGATAGTAAGGAAGGAGTGTTCTTTCTTTTAAAACATTTACTATTCAAGTCATGCTTGTAGTATATGATTCAGCATGTGCCAATTACTATACTCAGTTCTTTCTTCTTCTTTTTGCTTCAGGGTATCTGGTAGGGATATCTTGCCGTGCACAGCGACTTCTAAAATATTAAACACAAGTTTCATTCATTAAATAAAAAAATAACAGGATTAAATAATAAGTACCGCTGACATACTCAACGGTCCTGTATTAAAAAAATGGCATCTCTCCCTCCAGAAGTAACTGTTGACGGTGGAAATTTCATATGCATTAGCTGTGCAGATCTAAAAAAATTGAAAAATCATCAGAGAAAAGGGTGTAATGAGAAAAATGCCACATAGGCAGAAAAAGAAAAGCAAGGTGTAAGCAAGTACTACCAATCCAGGTGGAAACAAATGGCCAGGACTTGTTTGTAGCTACCATGTCTAAAACTATAACAGTAACAGAATTGGAAGGGACCTTGGAGATCATCTAGTCCAAACCCCTGGTCTCGCAGAAGACTATACTATTTCTGATAGTGGTGGCGCAGTGGTTAGAATGCAGTATTGCAAGCTAATTCTGCTGACTGCCAACTGCCAGCAGTTCAGCAATTCAAGTCTTATTGCTCAAGCTCAGGCTTCCATCCTTCTGAAGTTGGTAAAATGAGAACCCAGATTGTTGGGGAGAATATGCTGACTTAGAGAGGGTTTTAAAGCACTAAGAAGCAGTATAGAAGTCCAAGTACTATTGCTATTGCTATTCCAGTGTTGGGGCACCCACAATTTCCGAAGGCAATTTGTTCCACTGGTTAATTGTTCTCAATGTTAGGAATTTTCTCCTTAGATCTAGGTTGCTTCTGTGAGTGACATTGTCTTTCCTATCACCAAGAAACCTAATCAAAGTTTTCCCTATCTTATTAAGGAGCCCTGATGGCACAGCAGTTAAAGTTCAGCATTGCATTCAGCACTGCTCACAGCCAAGACTTTGATCCTGGTGGGGCTTGAAGTTGACTCAGACTTCCATCCTTCTGAGGTTGGTAACATGAAGACCAGATTGTTCAGGGCAATATGCAAATAAAGCTTACATTGTGAGCTGCACAGACAGTGCTGTCAAGCACTAGGGAGTGCTATATAAATTGCTATATAAATTGCTATGAAAAGGCGACTTGGAAGTCTCAATTTACCAAATTTAAGATAGACAGAAATGTCAATATCTATGGTATAGCTTTAAGGGATGCGGTGGCTCAGTGGCTAAGATGCTGAGCTTGTCAATCAGAAGATCGGCAGTTCAGCGGTTCGAATCCCTAGCACAGTGTAATGGAGTGAGCTCCCATTACTTGTCCCAGCTTCTGCCAACCTAGCAGTTTGAAAGCATGTAAACAATGCAAGTAGAAAATAGGGACCACTTTGGTGGGAAGGTAACAGTGTTCCGTGCACCTTCAGTGTTTAGTCATGCTGGCCACATGACCATGGAGACGTCTTCAGATAGCCCTGGCTCTTCAGCTTAGAAAAGGAGATGAGCACCACTCCTAGAGCCGGAAATGATCAGTACGTATGTGCAGGGGAACCTTTACTTTTTATGTCATAGCTTTAGCTATGAAGAAGAGACTAAACATCACACATTTGAGAGCATGAATTAATATCATCTAGGTGATGGTGAGTGCAGATGAGAGCAAGAACTTTGTGGGAAGCTGGGTAATGTTGCATGTCAAGCCGTAATGAATGAAAGTACTGGAGGTGAGTTTCGGAGGAAACTTTTAGAATATTCTGAATGCATACATTCCAAAATAAAAATTATTCTGCTGGGTGCGGGAAAAAAAATCTATTCCAAAGAGGTGATTTAAGGGTAAGTCTCTTCTTACCTACGTGTGGAAAAGGAATAAAAGTATGACAGATTTCACTGCTTATACTGAATGGCTGAGAAATCAGTGAAAGACACACAAGAGTGATAAGAGGTTTTGAATGTGAGCAGAGCATTATTTAAAGTTCTCATGAAGAGATCTTTCTAAAAAGTGGATAGGGAAGAAAAGAGTGAAATCACAATACCTGCAGTGAGAATCGTGGATGGATAGATGGATGAATGATTACAGTAGATAGATAGATAGATGATAGATAGATAGATAGATAGATAGATAGATAGATAGATAGATAGAGGGAGAGAGAGGGAGAGAGAGATTGTAAATAGCTAGATCTACCAAACAGAATAAATAGAAAGGAAACAGAAGGAATGCAGAAGCTACTTGAAACAAAATGAAAAGGACAACAATACAGTGTGCCATAAATACAGCGTAACCATAGAGTTACGCTAATAGGAAATATGAAAAAGATCTTTGGTAGAATAATAAGCAGGTATAGAATGAGGAAAACAAGATCTAAGAGAATTATGGAATTATGGAAAAAATGAAAGGTAGATATTGCATAACAGGTATAGAAAGAGGAATACTGTTGTGAGGACTGTAGTCAAAGAGAACAAGGAATGGATAAGATTAAAGGAAGCAGAGAAATGTAGATCAGTTTGATGGAAATAAGATATTGCTTTGGAAGTAGATGGAAAGGAATAAATGAGAAGCCCCAAAAAGTGTGAATGGAATTTTTAAAAAGTGATTAAATTATTCGGGATGAAATTGATATGTGATAATCCTAGCATGAATATTGTAGAGATTTGTGAAATGGGAGGATAGCACCATGTGAAGAATCAATTGAAACAAAAGCTAAAAATGTTAGCGCCCAACAAAAAAAAATTGTTGAAAAGCAAGTGATAAATGCTGTGAGGAATGTTGAAAAGGGGCAACATTGCCGAAGTAGACAACGTAATCATATTAAATTACAGCAAGGATTTAGTTTGCTTTTGGAGTGCTGTGCACTTTGCTTTATATGTGTGATATCTGTGTGATGGCTGCAAGAATGCTATTATTGTTCTCCTACATGGAGGCAAAGGTAGCAACAGAAATGCTAAAACTACAGAAGGCTTTGTTTTTCAAGGATGCCTGGGAAAGTATTTGGTAGATTTCTGATTGAAAGGCTATGAGATACAACAATGAACAAAATAAGGGAGTTGCAATGTAGCCTGATGCCAGATAATGAATGTGTAGGCCAGGGGTGGGTTCTAAATTTTTTTACTACCAGTTCTGTGGGTGTGGCTTATTTTGTGGGTGTGGCTTGGTGGGGGGTAATGTGACTGGGTGGGTGTGGCCAACTTTTTTTTTTAAAGCAACCTTTTTTTTTTCTACAACCTTAAGAGATTGTAGAAAAAAATTCTTTTAAAAGCCTCTGACGATCAGGCAACTCAGCTGGGATCTCCAGAGGCTTTTAAAGGCATTTTTTTTCCTACATCCTCTGCAGCTGAAGAGGTTGTAGGGAAAAAAATGCTTCTAAAAGCCTCTGACGATCAGGCAATTCAGCTGGGATCGCCAGAGACCTTTAAAGGCATTTTTTTCCCCTACAACCTCTTCGGCTGAAGAGGTTGTAGAAAAAATGCTTTTAAAAGCATCCCAGCTGAGCCGTGTGATCATCAGAGGCTTTTTTTTTTTTTTACTTTTAAAAGCATTTTTTCGGCCAAAAAGGTTGTAGAAAAAATGCTTTTAAAAGTTATGGAAAAAAAAAAAGCCTCTGATGAGGTGGGTGGGGTAAGCGAGCGGCGACCAGGCCAGGGACTGGTTCGGGGGCATGGCCAGCCAATGTTATTACCGGTTCTCCGAACTACTACAATTTTTTACTACCGGTTCTTGCAAACCGGTGTGAACCGGGAGCAACCCACCACTGGTGTAGACCAGTTTTTGTTCTTTAGCACGTCATTGAGAAGTATATGAACATGGGAAATAATGTTGATTGTACATTTGTTGATTTAGACAAAGCTTATGATGATACAAATCAGCCTGAATTATGAAATGTGTGAATATGGTTGGTTGCTGCATGAAATAAGAGTGGTATCATTTCGAAGTAAAGCTTACTTTGGATTAAATGGATTAAATTTTGGCTGAAGATTAAGCAGGAAGTCAGATGTCCCCCTGGTTAATCAATTTATTTAAAGATAAATTGAGCCTTGGTGGCACAGTGGTTAGAGTGCACTACTGCAGACTACTTCTGCTGACTGCCGGCTGCTTGCAATTTGGCAGGTCAAATCCCACCAGGCTCAAGGTTGACTCAGCCTTCCATCCTTCTGAGGTTGGTAAAATGAGGACCCAGATTGTTGGGGGCAATATGCTGACTCTGTAAAACAACTTAGAAGGGCTGTAAAGCACTGTAAAGTGGTATATACCCTGTTCTCCCCAAAATAAGACATCCCCTGATAATAAGCCCTATCGGGCTTTTGAGCACATGGCAATAAGGCTAAGCGCTTATTTCAGGGTTCAAAAAAAATATAAGACAGGGTCTTATTTTCGGGAAAACATGGTAAGTCTAAATGCTATTGCT